GCCTGGTTTCTATGCAACTAACTCACTCACATGTGCAAGGAGAGGGGAGGAGGCTGCTCGTGCAGCAGAGTCATAGGCATATGCCTATGGCCCACACACCTGGTGCACAACAACAATAAAAATAAATTAAATTATCGGGTCCGTTCCCAAGGGAACTCACGACGGCCGCTCACACCCGATAAACCCTAGCGGCAGATGCAGCGCCTAACCGTGGGGGTGAGTGGATAAGTCTCACAACCGAACGACCCCATTAGCTGCATCAAGAGTACATACACACACTGGTAGAAATGCAACAACTGGGGGCGCACTTACAACAGCAGGCGCCGGTGGTGCACCAGTACAGCCCACATGTACTCAGGGTGCTGCTGGGAGCACAGAAGGCGATCCCCATCAGAACAACTGGCAAGAACAGCGGCGAAGGAGCAATAAATCAGCGGCCCACAGCGATCCCATTGCCCGGGCAACAAAATCCAAAGTTGTGTCTGTCTACAGAAAAATGGCCACAGAAAACCCCAACCCCAACACACTCACTGGCACACATCTTCCCAAGCGATGTGCCTTCTTTGTGGGGAATGTTAGCCCTGGAAGTAAGGCACAGTCCATTGTCACCTGGTGCGCTGATAGGGGCGTTGATGTATACGCATGCACAATTGCCGAAACCCAATACTTTGGTACCTGCTATGCACGCGTTTCTGTCGCGGAAGAGTTTGAGCAAACGCTGCTTGACAAAGAATTCTGGCCCGACACCATTGCGCACACCGTCCGCAAATGGCGCTATGCCGACTCCGCTAGCAAGTGATGGGTCCTCGGTCACCTAGCCAACAGCTAAATCCTCTTGCCCAACCCTTTGTGCCCCACGCAAGTTCATCACACCCTTCCCCTCGTTGCGTTACATATTCTTCTATATCTAGTGGTCATATTCCACTTGCACCACCATTCCTTCCTGATTCTGGACGACAAACTACTAAAACTCCTAATCAACAGCAGCTCCACGACGCCCCCTACCACAAACTAATGTCGGTCTTCACCCCGTTGAGCGCTCATGCTTTCCCGTTTCTCCCGGACCACGCACATTCTATTAACATTGTAACTATCAACTGTCGCTCTGTAACAAACAAACTTCCGGAATTGTACGCAATATGTCAGGCCAACAAGCCCACCATAATATGTTTAACAGAAACCTGGCTAAGCCCGTCACTTTCATTCAGTGTTCCAGGCTACACATGCTTCCGTAAAGACAGATCTACACATAAGAACCTGAGATCAAACCTACGTGGATATAGTGGCGTGGCCATTCTCATACGTGATGGGACATTTCCACATTGCACCCGTCGCCATGACCTTGATTCTCCCCAAAGCGAGGCCTTATGGCTTGAGCTTGGTGCACCGGCAGGTCTCCGGGCCAATCCGCTACTCATTTGCTGTCATTACCGCCCCCCTTCACAATCCCTTCTTGATATCACCTCCTTTTGCGACATACTTACCGACACGCTGTGTTCCTTGGACCTCTCTTTATTTGATGTTTTTCTTACCGGTGACTACAATGCCCACAATTCTGACTGGTGGAGTGGTGACACCACATCGCGTGCTGGTACGGAGCTATCACACGTGTTCTCTAGCTTTGGCCTCCAGCAGCTTGTCAATTTCCCCACCCGTGTCGCTCCGAATGGAAGACTGTCCTGTCTGGACTTGCTTGCTACGAACCGCCCCCTCTCTGTACGCTCTGTTGACGATGCTGCCCCGCTTGCTGCATCGGATCATTTGCAAGTCATTACAACGCTAGCCTACAACATTGCCACTGCTAACACCTCTTACAACTGCTCTCAGACTCCTACCCCTCCGCGACATGCCTTCCGCAAGGTTACACCCTCCACTTGGTCAATCATCAACTCTGCACTTTTTGCCTGTGACTGGCATCTTTTATTCACCTCCACTACTGTTGATGAAGCTGTGAAGAAGTTCACCACAGTTCTTGATGACGTGCTCTCCTTCTATGTGCCACAATACGGAGCAAGACCCGCTACACCCAAACATGGCAGCCACCACCCTCGTCAGTCCAGCCGTAACCCCAAGATCCCTTGGCTCGACAAAGATCTCCAAGGTGCAATTAAACTCAAATACGACTACTATAGCTTAAGTAAGAAGTACTCCACCTATGCTAATATTTCTTTATACAAAAAACAGCGCAATCTGGTGAAGTCATTGTCACGTTCTAAGTATCGAGCATATTTACGTTCGCTCACTACCACCTTATCTCACCCCTCTTCCAGGCCTAACCTGTATACCTTTGTTCGCACTCAAAGGACAACTAGTACACGTCAAGACATACCTCCGTTATTAGCTTCCAATGGTTCGATGGTGACTGACCCCAAGTCTATAGCTAATACTCTCAATACGCAATTCACATCAGCTGGTATTCCAGACGACCATTCCTCTCCAATACCACCTCTGCAACGTTCTGCGACTGTGTCTTCTGATCTGCGCTCTATACATACCACCACATCATCTGTTCGCAGCTACCTAAAAAGACTAAAAAGCAACAAAAGCCCTGGTCCTGATGCCCTACCAAATGAAGTTCTCAAAGTTCTGGCTCCATCTCTGGCGTACCCACTGTGCCTTATATTCAACCTTTCCTACTCCTCCGGCGTATTTCCTGATCGTTGGAAGATCGCTAAGGTCACGCCCATCTACAAGTGTAAAGGCTCCCGATCACAAGCCTCAAACTATCGTCCAATATCTCTTCTCTGCTCCCTTTCAAAAGTATGTGAAAAGGTATTTTACGACCAGTTGTATTGCCACATTTCACCATGCCTTAGCCCTTCCCAATCTGGCTTTCGGCGCAACGACTCAACCTCTGACCAACTAGCTCGTCTAGTACAAGACATTGCCACCCTTCGTGATGCTCGACACCATATTGCTCTCTGTTTCTTTGACTTGGCAAAGGCCTTTGATACTGTCTGGCATCGTGGCCTCCTTGCCAAGCTACATATTGTCTTTGGTGTGTCTGGCCCTGCTCTGTCCTGGCTGGAGTCCTATCTGAGTAGCCGATCACAGTTTGTTTCTGCCCTCTCCATCAACTCTGATCCTCTACCAGTGTCTTCTGGAGTTCCCCAAGGCTCCATACTTGGACCTCTTTTGTTCGTAGCATATGTAAATGATTTACCCTCTATAGACCCAGGTGTCTCGTTATTTGCTGATGATACAACCCTACTGTCAGCATCCTCGTCCTCAGCGGCTCTTGTACCTCGAGTGTCGGCTCAGATATGCAGTGTCCTACGCTGGATGCAAACATGGCGACTTAGACCCAACCTGACTAAAACCGAAATAATGTTCCTTCCCCCAATCTCATCCATGTCACTTTTACACCATCCTGATTTCCCAGAACCCATAAAGGTTGTTTCCAACCATAAACACCTGGGAATAATGCTTGATGATCGTCTCTCTTGGTCTTTCCATATTGATGCTCTTTGCAGCCGTTCAAGCTCTGCCCTAGGTGTTATACGTCCCCATTGTTTCCATCTTCCTTTCAAATGTAAAATTTTGTTTTACAAACTGTACATCCTGCCTCTTTTCATGTACGCTGCTGTTAGCTGGTGTGGCTTGTCCTCGGTTCTCGCTGAGCATCTCGAAATCCACCATAGAAAACTTCTTCGTATCCTGTTTAGTCTACCCCCTCTCTACCCTTCTGCTTCCCTGTATGTCCTTGCAAATGCTTGCCCACTGTCGACCCACCGTCAAAAATTAATTTGCACTTTTGCTCACAAATTTAAACTAGCTCTACATCCTCCTCATCTTAACGTGTATAACTGGTTCCGAATCACAGATGGCTCCCAGACAAGATGCTCTGTTGCCCTCCCCTTGGCTAAAACGTCCTCCCTTGTACGCTCTCCACTCTTTGTTGCTTACTCTGCTTGGCTTGCGCTGCCCGCTACTACGCGCAATGCCAGTACCCTGGACGCATTTAAATCTGCTCACTAGATTCACCATCACCTGTCCCTCCCATGCTTCTCCGTCTTGACCATTACTTTTCTTCTTTTATTCACCATGGTTGGTTAACACCCACATCTCCCGTACTGGCTGATTTTCTTCTCATGCCATGAGGTGTTGTCTATAATAATAATAATAATAAATAAACCCCAAGAGTGTGCAACTCCAGCTATACTACTGCTATGGGGTCTGCGACGGCAGAACTTCACATCACGTGATGAACCCGTGCACTCTGTGCATGATAGATACTGGGTTGTACGCAGCCCAGCTTTGGGTACAACTCTCTTGTGGTCACTTTGCACTGTTTGCCAGCATAACCTTTTGAACCATGTCACGTGATGTGAAGTTCTGCCGTCGCAGCACAGCATAGAGGTTGTGCAGGCAGTTGCACACTCTTGGGGTTATGTACTCTTGGCTGTATCCATGTACCCCTTGTGCCTGGCCACAAGTTCCCAGTTGACTGTGGGTAGCAGCACAGCTGGAAAAACCGCTCCCAGGCAGGACTTGAACCAGGTACCTCTCGTATCTCATTCATGGTCTTTGACCAACCCACTGTGCCTGCCTGGTGCACAACCACAATACAGACTGGATATGTTACGCGTACATACATTAAAAGTTTTAAAATGATTATCATGTCAATATACATTGTGGTCATAATGTGTTCGCATTTTTGGCAAGTTTCAGCAACAGCCCCAAAGTCTGCTCTGTGAGCTATGTAAGGATGCGTTCTTATAATTATTCTCTAGCTTCTCGGAAAAGAATAAAAGAGAAGTCGAAGAAAGTGGTATAATGCAAGAACGGGTCTCCACGAATTCGGATATATTTTTCACATGTGAAGCAATATGAAGCGCCAAATGGCCGTTATCTTCAGTGCCATGAATGTAGTACGCATTGTGCGTATGAAAAAAGGGAAATGCGTACACTCATGATCAACACATCCTTTTAGCTGTAGTTCGCATGCACTGATCCCAAACCGCGGAAATCTCCAAGTTTCAACCACCTCTGAAGCTTGG